GAAAAGGCAGGGAATAGTCAACGGATCTAATATTAAATATATTAATATATTATCATTAAAATCTCACTACCAGGACTAATCAGCATTTGGCTAAACTGACTAAACTGTTTAATCATATGTTAAGTCAAGTTTAGTCAAGACAATTATTACTAAATTAGGATTTTAACCCTTTACGCTGTCAGCTCTACTCATTACCACTACTATTATAAAAACAAGGGATCAAAACAAAAAATCCATTCGTTGAAACGAGGTGTCTGATTCGTCAGATATTGGGGTAATCATCTGTTTATAGTAATAAATGAATTTCAAAAAAGGACAATCTGAGCATCCAGAAACAATTATATTAGCTGTTTCATAAAAAAATCTTTCAATGGTGGTGGTGATTATTGATGCAACTCAATAAAATGCTTTTGTGCATCCTGAATATTCACACTTAAGGTTCTTTATTCCAAGATGGTGCCTTGTGTGATTTAGCAAACAGCCTTTTTGACAAACTGCTTTACATCCTGGATATTCTTACTTACATTTTTTCCACCATGGGTATTAGTGTTAGTTATTGTTGATATTATTATCATCATCAAAATAAATTTTGTTCTATGCATCATGTGGTATTTGTTAATTATATTCTATAGTTTTATCTATATGAGTTTATAATAGACAATTTAATGTCTTCAAATAATCGCTCAACTTTCTTTTTCCGAATCCAATTATTAATTAACTAATGCGAACATCAAGTAGACATAATGTATCTTCCCGAATATTAGGGAGCCTCTTTTAACATCGATTCTACCTATATACCACTTATATTATTACTCTCCACGAAGTCACAAGATTCATATAAACCCAATCTTTTTTTAACCATCGAACAACTTTGTTATAATATATACACATGGTAATAATGAATTATCGGCAGAATTGATCTTTCTTTTGATGGGCATAGGGTTATGTTGTAGATGTAATATATGTATTACAAGGACCAGAGATATTATCAATATGTAAATAAATACATCGCCTAAAATATGCACGACTATCAGCCAAAGCATAATATTATTATTTTTTGACATAATTACCATAGAATTGAATTCGAAATATACAAATCTATGTCTATTAAATAATCATCAACTATCTCTTTTCCCATAAACATTCATTCCCATCCGTTCATTAATTCATATTCTTTAATTATTAGTATCTTTTATAATAATCATTCCATAGTATTATATTTTTATAATAAAACTTAATATACAATATATCACTGTTTATTAAATATGTTGATGGATGGTGTTAGCATTACTTTTATAAAAAAAGAGTCTTGTCCAATTAATTATAAAATTTTATAATTTTATAAAACAAAATAACAGTCGAAGCTCATTACATTAGACTTTTTTGTTTTCATTTATAATATTTTATAACTGTCTCTTGTTACAGTGGAAAAATAAAATAAAAAATAAACATAATAATATGGAACCAAGGGTCCATCCGATTTGAGTGTATTTAATAAATAATAAATAATATTCTTTCTTATCTGCTAATTAATAATCAATTTCATTGACCCACAACTTCACAGTAGGATCAGGTCTAAGAGTAATATTTGCTTTAGTTGTAACTTTGAAACCTTCAACTTCATGGAACTGGAAGTTTCTTAATAAAATGCACAAGACAACCTTTGCTTCATTCAATGCAAACCTATTACCAATACATGATCTTGGCCCAGCTGAAAATGGCAGATGCTTGTAATGAGAAAAACCTTTAACTTTTTCTGTAAACCAACGTGATGGATTAAATTTTTCAACATCATCACCCCAAATTGATGCCAAATGGTGAATTTGATAAATTGGTACATAAATTGATGTGTCCTAAATTAATTTATTAATATTAATATTAATAATATTAAAAGACAATAACAGATGCATAAATAAAATAATACCTTTGGAATAAGATACTCATCAATCATGACACCTACATTTGCTATACAACTCACCAATGTAGCTTTTATTATAACATAAAAAAAATATAACAAATGCGTTTATATTTATATAATAATCATAACAATATTTTCTTCTTCTTATTCATTATAATAATATACCTGGAGGGACAATTCTAAGAGTTTCTTTGCAAACTGCATTTAAATATTCCATGGAGTTGATTTTATCAAAATTTAGCTCAGAATCTTTATCAGGAAATTCTTTAACAATCTCTTCTCTGAGTTTGTCTTGAATTTCTTGATCCTTGGACAAATAATACAATATCCAAATCATCATAACACCAGTTGACTCATGTCCTGCTATGAAAAATGTCATAATCTTGAAAAAAAAATTTTTTAGTTAAAAATAATAATGATAATTATAAAAAATCATTTCCTTCAATTTCTTTGTAATAACAACTACCTGATTTCTTATTTCTTCAAAACTCATTTGTTCATTTTTATCTATTTCCTGTCCATAACTAGCTTTCACCAAACACTTATCAAATCATTGATATCCAATTTACCTCTTTTCAATTCATCAAATTTATTTTGAACCAATTTCCTTGTAATTTTTCAATTTCAATTGAAGCATTTTCAATATCTTGATTTATTTTTAATGGCAGCAATCTCAATATGGGTAAAGAAATTGATAATAAATTAAATGCTACCCCATATTTGTTATCAAAAAGAGTGCTTAATGAATCAGCAAGTCTTGATGATTCTATCAAAGAATTTATTTCAGAATCAAACCCTAAATAACAAATGATTAATTGTGTGAAGATTGATTTGATTAAACACACTGACTAGTGATTTTAATTGCATTATTTTTTTACCTGTTCAATCCTATTATAGAATCACTTACCAACTATGCCAATAACATCCAAAGATACTCTTCCCATATAACAACCAACATCAATTATTGCACTTTTTTTACCAATATCATTATTAACATTTTGACCATTCTTTATTTCATCTTTCCATAGATATTTCAATGTATTAGAAACCCTTGTAAATGCTGGAATCATATCCTAAATAATAATAATAATATTAATGTAACTAATCCCACAGACAAACCTGTTAATGTAAAATTTTTTTATTTACTCTAATACTATGATTACTGAATGATGGACTCATTAATTTACGTTGTTTCTTGTGTACATCACCATCTACCGCCAAAATACCTTCTCCGATAATATTTTTTAAATATCCCATAATTTTCTTTCTTCTAAATTTAGTATACGTGTCAGTAACAAGTACTTTTTGAATATTGTTTTCGTTGAGAATATAAACCCTTGGTTCATTGAATAATCCATAACACCTATATATATTGCCATATTTTTCTGCCCAATGAATCCCACCGCCTTATTAAATTAAATGTAACAGAGGTCAAATTTTTTATAAACATAGTTATTTATATATGTAAATAATCATGAATGATCTCACCGTAGGGTTAATAATTTCCAAGAAATTTCCCAACAGAAAATGGTCAGGACGAGGTCCAGGAATTTTGGATAAAGGAGATAAATATAATGGATAAATTATCCATTTATAAGTATAATATCCAACGAGGCATGTAGCACAACTAAATACATGGTTGTGCTTTCAATTATAGCCATTTTTTTATTATTGTCGTTATGATTATTTTATAAAATAATAATTATTTATTTATTATTATAATTTATTGGGTAAGTTTAAAAATATTGAAAGGAAAGAAATATTTGCTATTTATTTAAAAAAAATTTTGCGAGAAATTGTTTCCACGGATAATTAAATCGTGCCATTTCAAATGGGATTATTGTTAGAACTAAAAAAAAACTGACATTTGAATCTTTTAACTCCGTAACGATTTTTGGAAATTTCTGTGATGATCACCATTACTGTTTAAAGTAAATAATAAAAAAAAACAATAAAACCGGTCTAACTGAAGGATGTCCCAAAAAGTAAATCAGAGTTTCATGGGAATGAACTGATTTCTTAATATTAAGAATTAAAGAATAGGACAAGGACAAGGATAATGACATGACAATGACATTGATGTGGCTCACATCAACCGATCTAAAACATGTTACTATAAAAAAACTGACATTTGAATCTTTTAACTCCGTAACGATTTTTGGAAATTTCTGTGATGATCACCATTACTGTTTAAAGTAAATAATAAAAAAAAACAATAAAACCGGTCTAACTGAAGGATGTCCCAAAAAGTAAATCAGAGTTTCATGGGAATGAACTGATTTCTTAATATTAAGAATTAAAGAATAGGACAAGGACAAGGATAATGACATGACAATGACATATGGAATTATAATAAATTTTTGGGAACAAATTTTTTACTTTCGTTGGGTGCTTGATTTTAAAAAAATTCTGATTGAAATTGGTTCCTTTGATTCCTTGTAGATCCAATCAATTGAATATTAGTGAACCTTTCTTTATGATTCAATTAAATAAATGCCTGTTACTTTTTTTTTAAAAAATATATAAAGTGTA